GTAACACTATGCCATGATTATAGAATTGCCGCTGCTGGCACAACATAGGCAAGAATGCATGGAGACGTACTGGTCCAATAAAGGTACATAATCCGCACAGTAATACGGAAATACTTTTGCCAGTTCTGCCAGTGGAATTTGCGTTGGTCAATATTAGCTTTTAGGCCTGTTCTTTTTAGCTGAATGGCTGTACTAGTTCAGTTTATCTTTTTTACTCCACATTGAAAGAAAAAAGATAAACTCTGAACTAATGCAGCTATCCAGTTAAAAAGAACAGACCTACAAGCTAATATTGGCCAACACAAATTTCATTGGCAGAAATATTTTCGAATTCAGTAATACTAATTGTAAATTATAATACAAATGATTAGATATACATTTATACATATACATTTATATTCATTAAACTTTTCTTTATTACTTTTTTATAAACATATTAAGTCTTTATTACATCTCTGTAAATATTAAATTCTATTTTAAAAACAAAAACAATCTAACAAATGTTTGTAAAATATATGATAAAATAAACAAATATCTTATAAAAACAATTTGTTTCATATGAAAAAAGTACGTTTTACATTTATATTATGATGATCGCCTTTAATTCACAAAAGAAAATTGTATTAAACGGAAAAAAAGCAAATAAATTGTATTAAAATAAGAGAGCTGCAATTAAATATAATTATAAATAGTGAGAAATAAATAAAAATGAATCAATTCCGTACAATCCGCACCAGAATCATAGACCATGTATTATATACTTCTTTTTCGTCAACTGTTAAATAATCATGAACGAAATATCTATGACAGTTCATATTAAACTTTAAGAAAAACACTTTTTTAATTATTTTCCTCTCTCCTTTCATTTCTCTCTGCTCTTTGTTCTCTTTGTTTCTTCCCTCCGTCTCTGTCAGGAGCTCCAGATAACCAACGACCCGTTTTTGCTAAAATTTCTTTCGAATCACTATTTTTTTGTAGTTTCTCACACTCCACATTGAAAAAAATAACATTTAGATACATCAAAAATAACATTTGTATAAGAACAATTAAAGCATATGTGATTTCAAGATAGTGCGGTTATATCAGAAAGCATTTTTAGTAATTTTTGTTGAATATATTGATTATTGCAATTATCACTACTGGTACATTACTGCGCCAATTGTATGCCTTGCATTGGTCCAAATCTGGTGTTTAAAATGGGACATTATATACTCGACAATTAACCAATAACGGCACAACATTGTCTGCCAACGCTCGGCCGCCCGTATTGAACCAATACTGGGCCGTTTTTTCACTATCGGCAGTTTCTACGTGGGCAATTATATCGACCTGTGCCTACCCACGTAGAAACTGCCGATAGTGAAAAAACGGCCCAGTATTGGTTCAATACGGGCGGCCGAGCGTTGGCAGACAATGTTGTGCCGTTATTGGTTAATTGTCGAGTATATAACGTCCCATTTTAAACACCAGATTTGGACCAATGCAAGGCATACAATTGGCGCAGTAATGTGCCAGTAGTGATAATTGCAATAATCAATATATTCAACAAAAATTACTAAAAATGCTTTCTGATATAACCGCACTATCTTGAAATCACATATGCTTTAATTGTTCTTATACAAATGTTATTTTTGATGTATCTAAATGTTATTTTTTTCAATGTGGAGTGTGAGAAACTACAAAAAAATAGTGATTCGAAAGAAATTTTAGCAAAAACGGGTCGTTGGTTATCTGGAGCTCCTGACAGAGACGGAGGGAAGAAACAAAGAGAACAAAGAGCAGAGAGAAATGAAAGGAGAGAGGAAAATAATTAAAAAAGTGTTTTTCTTAAAGTTTAATATGAACTGTCATAGATATTTCGTTCATGATTATTTAACAGTTGACGAAAAAGAAGTATATAATACATGGTCTATGATTCTGGTGCGGATTGTACGGAATTGATTCATTTTTATTTATTTCACTATTTATAATATATCTATTTCACTATTTATAATTATATTTAATTGCAGCTCTCTTATTTTAATACAATTTATTTGCTTTTTTTCCGTTTAATACAATTTTCTTTTGTGAATTAAAGGCGATCATCATAATATAAATGTAAAACGTACTTTTTTCATATGAAACAAATTGTTTTTATAAGATATTTGTTTATTTTATCATATATTTTACAAACATTTGTTAGATTGTTTTTGTTTTTAAAATAGAATTTAATATTTACAGAGATGTAATAAAGACTTAATATGTTTATAAAAAAGTAATAAAGAAAAGTTTAATGAATATAAATGTATATGTACAAATATATATCTAATCATTTGTATTATAATTTACAATTAGTATGACTGAATTCGAAAATATTTCTGCCAATGAAATTTGTGTTGGCCAATATTAGCTTGTAGGTCTGTTCTTTTTAACTGGATAGCTGCATTAGTTCAGAGTTTATCTTTTTTCTTTCAATGTGGAGTAAAAAAGATAAACTGAACTAGTACAGCCATTCAGCTAAAAAGAACAGGCCTAAAAGCTAATATTGACCAACGCAAATTCCACTGGCAGAACTGGCAAAAGTATTTCCGTATTACTGTGCGGATTATGTACCTTTATTGGACCAGTACGTCTCCATGCATTCTTGCCTAGAGAACCTCTAGGAGAGAGAATGGACAACTGATCAAGCTTTTTCATGATTAGCTGGCAGAAAATGTATCAATTTTAGCTATTGCGACGCCAATGCAAAATATGATGACACACAAATAGGACACACATGACACACATATATTAACCTATTTGTGTGTCATCATATTTTGCATTGGCATCGCAATAGCTAAAATTGATACATTTTCTGCCAGCCAATCATGAAAAAGCTTGATCACATGTCACATGATCAGTTGTCCATTCTCTCTCCTAGAGGTTCTCTATTCTTGCCTATGTTGTGCCAGCAGCGGCAATTCTATAATCATGGCATAGTGTTACACTCCTGTACTTGACTTGTACTGGTCCAATGTTGGTATCTACCGGCAGCCAGTATTGGCACAACTGGCAGCGGTATTCGCCCAATGTTGGCCCGTTTATAAATTTCTACGTGGGTAGGGTAACCAGCAACGATTAACCAATCAGAGAGTCCTATTTTGAATTGGCCAATTGGCGACGTGGTCAATCGGGTGCCACCCGACCAATCGCGTTGCTCAATTTGGCCGGTTATGGTTACGGACGGAAAGTGTGTGCGACCAGCTTTATCTACAACTTAAGGCCTATCCAGACAAACTTGCATAAGACATAAGCATATGCATAATCATAACCATAATAAAAGCTTATCCAGATAAATTTGCATAAGCATAATGTATAGAGAAATCGACCAATCATAAAGCTGCGTTCCGAAATTCATTGTTAATATTGGCAATTGGCAATGAATTTCGGAACACAATCGCCGGTGTTATTATACTAATAATTTATTACCAAAGAATAAAATATTTGCCTCGTTTTTTTTGTGTATATGTTTAAAATCGGCTACACTTTTGTCAGACAAATGAGGAAAATTTTTGACAAGATCTATTAAAATTGTACGTACCAGTATCGGCTTCATTATATTCATATTCTTGAGTGAGATCATTTACTTTTTCTAATTCCATCTTCTGACTCCAGTATGTATAGTATTTTTTGTCTTCTGGAATATTGTTGAACCCTGTAAATATATTTTACAATTATTTTTGTATTGATCGCATACTTTTTCTTAGACATTTAAATTGGCATTTCTAACTGTACTTTTTATTATTATATTCTCCTAATAAATCGATTATAGAAAAGTATAAATATATAATCAATAATAATGTATGTATAATGTATGTAATAATATAAAAATATGTAATCAACAATGTGTTTGCAATTCATGAATTTAATACGACAATCACTATATTTATTTATAATTGTATGCATAGAAAGATTGTATATATTAAAAAATTGTAAGAATATATAAAATTTATAAAAATTTATAACAAATTCTAATATTGTAAATATAATGTAATATTGTAAATTGTGATAAAATTAAATATATATTAGCTATAAAAATGTATATCATATTTTATCATTATACAGAAATATTTTTAAATTATTTATTCGTTTTTTATTTTTAGGAATCTTACCTGCACAATGGAATAACTTGGTGAGCGAAAACTGAGTACCCGGTTGTCAGAGAATATCAGACTGGTTTAATCATAGATTATAATAAGTATATAGATTATCGGATGATATTCTAGAACAATGTCACAATAAAATGGCATTAGCTCTTGCATATACATATGCATAAAATTTCAACGATATGAAATCTAGTGACTTTACTTTTGCTTGTGCATATGTTACATTTATGTTGATTTATGTTTCATCATGATTTTTCTATAAAAGACGTGATTGACTTAACTCACTATGCATACTCCATGCAAGCTTTCTAAATACAAAAAATTTTTCGACATTATGTATATATTTTATGCTATAGTATTCTTTAAATGAGACATGTGATTGGTCCATTTTTTTATGCATATGCTTATATACTTATGCAAGTTTGTCTGGATAGGTCTTTAGGGCCTATCTAGACAAACTTGCATAGGTGTATATGCATAAAATAAAACCATATGGACCAATGAGCATCGAGTATTATGTTATGTAAAGGCTGCAGCACACACTTTTGCATAAGCGCATAACCATAAGCATAAGAAAATTGATTGGTTCATTTTCTTATGCATATACTTGCGGACCAATCAATTTCCTTATGCTTATGGTTATGCGCTTATGCAAAAGTGTGTGCTGCGGCCTTAAGTCAATATGGTAATTTAATACTCGATGTTCATTGGTCCATATAGGCCGGTATTCATAGTCCGATCTTATATTTAAGTCTGCTTGAAGGTTGACTTAAGACCTCATTCAACCAATCAAATAGCTGCGTAGCATTTCAAGCTCGAACTTAAGACGATCTCAAATATAAGGGTGCGTTTTCACTTGACGCTATGACGCTGGCTTTTAGCGTCATATCGCCGCAACGTCGTAGCGTCAATGAAAACTGATTGACGTTAACGTCTGGCGTCAAAACGGAATAACCTTTCATCAAGTTGTTCTTAAAAGTAATAACGTGTCTAAGTTAACAGATCTTAATTTCATTAAAAAAATGTTATGTAATCAACGATACTACGAATGGCAAAGAGAATGCTTAAAAATAATAAATTTAAAAAGACGATTAAAGAAAAAGAAACGTCAAATGATTTGTATAGCAGTGATTCATGAATTGGAAAAAATGGAGAAAAGACAATATACCAAAAAACGTTATTGGGTTGCACCATTATTTAAAAATAGAAAAATGCATGGTTTTTACCATGCAATATTTCCTAATATTATTTTGGAAGACAGCACATTTAGAAATTATTTTAGAATGACTGCTATACAGTTAGAAGAATTGCTACAAATAGTAGGACCTTCTTTGAGTAAACAGATAACTTCCTTTCGTGAGCCAATATCCGCTCCTGAACGTTTGTGTTTAACATTAAGGTATGTTGTTATTAATTATAATATTATTATATTATTACATTGAGTGCCATCGCTAGTGACTGAGACAGATCTTTCTGTTGAAGCTCGACATTTAATATGTTAACAATCTGTTTATTATTACTTGCATTTTAAATATATTACATTTTACAGATATTTAGCTGCTGGTGATTCTATGAAATCAATATCATATCAATTCATATCATACCAATCTAATTGGTGTAACAACGGTTTCTAACATTATTAGCGATACATGTAATGTCATTTGGAATTGTATTCACGAGGAAGTCCTTCCATCTACTTTGAGTCAAGGAGATTGGTTACGCATAGCAGATGAATTTGAGGAAAAATGGAACTTCCCTCATTGCATAGGTGCTATTGATGGAAAGCATGTAGTAATATAAGTAAAATCAGTAAAATGATTCTTTCATAAATCTTATTACCCACACGGCACAGGACCTTGCAGCAATATTGCAGCAATATTGCAATCTTGCATATTGCAATGTAATATTGCAGCAATATTGCTGAAATATGAATATAGAACATTGCTGTAATAATGTGGTAATAATGTTGCAGCAATATTGAAAATATACTGTTATAATTTTATAAATAGTAAAAATAATATAATATATTAATTTAATTGGTGTACGCATTTGCATATTTTTTTATTATAATTTAGCAATCTTAAAATTATTAATGTTATCATTATTATATAAAACACGAATGAGTTTATATAATATTAATTATTATAATTATAATATAAAAATTATTAATAATATTATTAATTATTAATAATTATACTTATATTTAAATATTTTGTTGCTTTCGCGAGCTGAGACTGAAACGTTTATCCTATAGACATATATATATATATATATAGACGCATAATACATATATATGTATGTGTGTGTGTGTATATGGTTCAGCTGTTTAGAGATTTTGCGCCGGGCGCCGCGGGTGTAGTTCGGAAAGTGCGAAGTGCGAGGTTCGTTCACGGGTGATATAGGTGATTATTAGCGACAAGTGCAATAAACATCAATCAAGTAATTTTATTTTAAGTGCGCAACGAAGCAAGGAACACGTATGTAAAATGGCATTATTACATTTCCAGCAGAATATGGTTGTTTAATAATTACAATTTAATTTAACTTAACCTAACCTAAATTGAAACTTATATTGTTTTAGTGAGAAATAAGATCCATCGAGCTGAGTTTTTACTTTATTCTTTCGACCGGCGTAATCGAAAAATTATCGCCAATATCTTTTTGGAATCCGTAGTATCTAGTTAATAAAATATTTGGCTGCTTGTTATTCACTTACATTTCCTTCTATATATATATTTCTATATTTTTCTATATATATTCTTTTATACATTTTATTTCTTATATTTATTCTATAATTGTATATATTGTTATATATTTTTATATATTTTTACAAATATACTTAAATATATATTTTAATTTTATTAGTATTTATATTTCAGATACGTTTACATGTACATATAAATACGTATATTTGTTTTATTTTCTTGTAATTATTTTCTAAATGTTTTCTTCTTAAATTTTTTGCAATACAATTTGTGTAGTTTACTTATTGTAGAAGAAATATGAACACACATAAAAGAAAACTTGTTTCAAAACGCCACAATAGACGGATTGTTGCAAATCAAACAGCTATAGATATTGCAGGATCTTCTAGAGAAATTTTGGAATGGCATACTATCAATACTTCTTCTAAACAGACTTCAAATGTAGAATTGTGTAAAGCAACTGATAAAGAAGTTTCTTTATGTAATACAAACAGTGTTAATGATATGATTAATAATGTGCATGTCAAAATTACATCTTCAGATGTTAATAATGATAATAATAATAATAATAATAATAATGATAACTTTGTTATAAATGATGAAATACATAAACCTAATAATGATGATGAATTAAATAAAGCATTAGCTACATGGGCTGTATCACACAATATTTCTCGCACTGCTTGTAATGAATTGTTGAAAATTTTGAAGCAATATACTTCGCATAATCTACCTACAGATGCACGAACACTATTAAAAACTCCAAGAAAAACCCAGCATATTTCAAAAATATGTGAAGGAGAATATTTATATTTTGGTTTGAATGATATTATTCAGAAAATGCTATTAAAAGATAATAATACATATGTTAATTTACTAATTAATATTGATGGTTTGCCATTATCAAAATCTTCTCAAGCGTCATTATGGACCATTTTATGTTCAAATACTGTCAATAAGACAGTATATCTCGTTGGTGCATATTTTGGTTATAAAAAACCTACAGATTCTAATATTTTTCTGAGAGCCTTAGTCGATGATTTAATTAATTTCACTAATAATGGTTATATTTATAATGAAAGCATAATCAAAATTAGATTGTTTGGTTTAATTTGTGACGCACCTGCTAAATCTTTTGTGTTATGTGTAAAAGGCCATACCGGGTTTTACAGTTGTACGAAATGTGTGATTAAGGGGAAATATATTAATGGTAGAGTTTGCTTTCCATATAAAAAAACATTTCCTTCTAGAAAAGATGAACTATTTTCCGCTAATACTTATCAAGATTTTCAGATTGGATTTTCTATTTTAAATAATATTCCTGGATTTTTGCCTATAAGTAGCACACCACTAGATTATATGCATCTTATATGTTTAGGCGTCGTCAAAAAAATTATCCTTCTTTGGATAAAGGGTCCACTTAATGTACGCTTAAGTATCAGTTCTATTAATAAAATATCACACTTGTTAATTTTGCTGAAAAATTCAACACCGAACGATTTTGTTAGAAAACCCAGATCATTAAAAGATGTCAAACAATGGAAAGCAATAGAGTTCAGAAATTTTTTATTATACACAGGACCCATTGTATTAAGACATATATTAAAGCCAGACATATATCTTCATTTTCTCACTCTACATATAGCTGTCACAATTCTTATACGTTCAAATTTAAATGAAGAACTAATAAATTTTGCGGAATCTTTACTAAATCATTTTGTCATATCATTTGAAATTTTATATGGTAAACAATACATGTCGCATAATATACATAATTTATTACATATATGTTCCGATGTAAGAACATATGGTCCATTAGACAATTTCAGTGCTTTTCGTTTTGAAAACTATATGGCATCGATCAAAAAACGATTACGTAAAAATGAAAAATCGCTTCAACAATTATATAAAAGATATAATGAAATTGAAAATTGTAATTCTTTTCTGTCAAGTATTAATAATGAAACATTAAATTCATATAAATATTTACATAACAATGGTCCAGTACCAGATAATTATAATATTCAATTGCAATATTTAATGATGTCAAATGAAAAGTTTAATATAAAATGTAAAGGTCAAAATAATAATTGTTGTCTTTTGAAAAGCGGTCAATATGTTTTAATTTTGAATATAGTGCAAAAAAATAAAGATTTTTTGCTTATTGGTAAGAAACTTAAGTACATAAAAGATGTATATGAATCACCATACAAATCCAGTAATTTTAATATAAAAGTAATGACAGTAAATAATGATAGCATATTTTCATGGCCAATTACAGATTTATTAGGTAAAGCATGGAAAATTCCTTTTGGAAATCATGCAAATACATTCGCAATATTTCCTCTTAATCATACAATATAATTATATATATTAATTTTTATGTGTTATAGATAATTATTTTTATGTGTGTTGTATAATAATTTTTTGTGTGTTATATAATAATTTTTTTTCAATCATTTATTTTTGTGTTAAATAATAATTTTTTTTTTAATAATGTAAACTACACATATGTTTTACGGAATATTTCACATCACAGAAAAATGGATAAGTACCAATTTATCATTGCGGAATTTCATGACGGGTTACAAGTTATACCGTCAGAATGCAACGCCGATAAATTATCATGTATATGGCCTAATCATATGAAAACTAAATATCGCATTAACAAGGCCATATTGGCAAGAGAGATGCCTCGAGAAAAATCTGATTGAGAAGAGTTACCAATAAAAAGAATTTTTGGTGGAGCAAGTAAGAGAACTTTTTTTATATAAATTATCATTTAATATATATAAATATTGTATACATTTTTCTTTTGTTTTTAATAATTTAGATACTTATGAAGAAAGTTTACAAAAATTAAGTCTAGCGCAAGACACGTCAAATATAGATGACACTGGGATGTCTTCAAATGATTTAAGGGAACAAAATAAAAAGCAAAGACGTATAAAAGCAAAGAAAAAAATATTATCATCTTCTTCTTCAGAAGAAGATATCTATTTAAAAAATAAAGAAAATAAAATAAATATAATACAACATAAAATCTTGCCTCCTTTTCCTGACAGAGGCAATTTTGTTAATAAAGTAATTGAGCCTATACAAAACATTACAAATATTTTACGTGAAAAAAATATTATTATTCCTACAAACAGTAATGGTAAGTTATAATTAAAATTTATAAATACATGACTTATAACAAAAATTATTAATTTTTTATTTTTTAGATAGAAATAACAAGCAAATTGCTACGAATAATATAAAGATTCTTCAAGATTCTTCTGAAAATACTGAGAAAGATTTGTCTGCTTATGGTATTTATTATAAAAGTTAATTATTGTTATATTTATTACTTTTTTTTACTAAAAGGCCCTGTAGTTAAAAATAAAGTATATATATGTATAATTATTGTATGATATTTAGCAGCAAATAATAGCATTAATTAAATTATATATATATATATGTGTGTATATATATTTGTTCCAGAGTTCAAGAAACAGATTATAGGAAAATTGAACAAAATATTATATAAATTAGACGGTATAGAAATCAAAATTAATATGCTAGAGGAGAAAATGCAATTTTCCTGTCATTCTTATGATGGTCAAGATGAATGTGATATTCATTTCCCGATTTCTACACTTACTGAATTAATATCCTTTGAAGATCAATTACAGGAAATCGAATTTAAAGATAAAGTTGTATGTGATAAAGATTTCTTATTTTTATATTATAGATGTTAATTTTTTTCTATAGAGTTAGTTATATCACAATTTAATGCTTAATAATTTTTGATTACATTTCTTATCACTAATTCATAAATGACATATTTTTTTGTTACTAATTGTAAAATAAAGAAGGCTCAATTTATTAACGTATTTACAAGTCATTTAATTATTTATTAAACAATAAAAGTATTTAATATTATTTTTAACATTGTTTATTTTTTTAGCTTAATGTTTTAAAACTTGTTGGTAGAGTTGATGGACATGCCATGATACGAAATATTATGAAAAAAGTAATAACAGACACTTTAGCTCAAAATTTCAACTGGACAGGAAAAAAAAATAAGCGTAGCTTCAAAGATTAGTAACTTTAAATCTTTCTAAAATGATTATACGTAAGTTCTCTTTAATATAATTTTTGATTAACTTGCTTGATTCATGTATCTATTTAGAAATTCCTTTAAAATTTGTCTAAAATATACACATATTTATAAGAAAATATTTACAATTTATATTAAAAAATACTTATGTATGTGCAGAAGCTATTCGTGTAAAATATAATAATCTGACAGATAATGACATTGCAGAATACACATCTAAATGGCTGTCTCAAGCTACTGTAAGAGTTCAAAGAGATGAAAAGAAGTATGTACATTTTATTTGTTAGGAACGTCATAATTGCTTACAGATTAATCAGATTATTTGATTTAATTAGTTTTTATTTTTATTTTTACTTTTAATCAATTTATTTTAATCGATAACTAAGCTTGAACAAATAGATATGTTACTTTTTCTGTTTAATATGTTGAGAAAATGCTGTATATTATCTAAATATTTTCTTATGAAATTTTTAGACTTTATAGTTATAATTTCGTATTACACTGACAAAAAAATGTAAAACATGTTGAATTAAAATATAAATATTTGATATAATTATATGATTTGAAATGAAGTTATAATTTTAAGTTTTTTATTAAATGTTTTAGACATATTCAGGAAGAAAAATAAAAACTAGAAGAACAGGAAGAACTAAAAAACAGGAAGAAAAAAATTAGAAGAGAACGACATTACCAAAAAATAATACTAAAATTTTATTATAAATATTATGTAATAGCAATATATTACATAGAAGATATATATAATTTCATATATCATATAGTTTATATCACAGTTTATAGAATATATTAAAGATATATAGAATTTAAGACGATTAAATATTTTATTATTTTTATATTTTTATGTATATCTTTATTTTTTTATTATTCAAAACTATAACCGATTATTAATTACATACATATAATGTTTATTGTTTCATATAAAATTGCTTATTACATTTTCGCATATGTATTTTTTGTTCTTACATGATTAAGATACTTTAATGCAATTTAAGTAAATTTTTTGTTTTCATTAGGTCTATAAAAATGATTATATTATATGTTGTGTACGGCGTGTACATATGTGTATATTATATACGCAGATTATTATATATGAATATATAACGTGTTATATATTAACATATTTCGTATATAAAATTTTTATATAATTTGATTTTTTTATTGCAATATATAATAAGAATAAATTTAAATGTTGCGTATATTTTATTTCATGTAACTCATATATATACATAAATATTAATTTCTGAAATATTCTCTTTTATACTGCATGTAATATATATTTACAAACTCGCACATTCTAACAATCTATGAGATATATATATATCTCATAGATTTAATTAGAATGTAAAAATACCACTTATAGGTCTGTTTGCGTTGATTGAACTCGCTGCATTAGTTCAGAAGTTGTCTTTTTTGCTCGACATTGTTGGAAGAAAAAAGATAACTTCTGAACTAGTGCAGCAAGTTCAGTCAACGCGATCTTACGTCAATACAAAGCATTATAATACATATATATACATATATTATATTGCAATACTGTTGCACTACTGCATTGTAATATTGCTGCAGTATTGTATTGTAATATTGCTACAAGCGGACATTTTACCGTTGCTGCAATATTGCTGCAATGTTGCAGCAACATTTTGCAACATTGCTGCAATGTTGCAATTTTGCAAATAAATATTGCTGCAATGTTGCTGCAATATTTCTGTGCCGTATGGGTATTAACATTATTTTTTAATTGATAACAATTTTTGTAATACTTTTTTTCAGTGTCCTAATAACGCAGGTTCTTCATATTATAATTACAGGAATTCTCACAGCATAGTACTTCTGGCAATATGTGATGCAAATTATATGTTTACTTTTGTGGACATTGGAGCATATGGTCGACGTAGTGATGGTGGCATTTTTCGATCTTCTTTAATAGGACAACAATTTCATAATGAGGAAATGAATTTACCAGAACCACAAGCTATATTAGCTGATGAAATACCTCTACCATTCGTAATTGTGGGTGATGAAGCTTTTCCGTTATCAGAATATTTACTTCGATCGTATCCTGGAAGAGGAGGTTTAAGTCAAGAACGAAAAATTTACAACTATCGGCTGAGTAGAGCAAGAAGAATGATCGAAAGTTCTTTTGGAATTTTATGTAGCCAATGGCGGATATTAAGGCGTCCCATTGACACTACAGTTGATACATGTATGAAAATTGTTCAGGCCATTATCTGTTTACACAATTGGCTGCGAATTAAAGATATTGATCATAACGAATATATACCATCCAATCTAATTGATCAAGACAATTCATACAGTTTTATATCTGATACTTTGAGCTCAGATATAACTGATGAAGGTGCTTTGCGAAATATAACTCAATGTGGTTCTAATTTAGGTTCACGTAAAGCCATGATGATAAGAGATACATTTTGTCACTATTTTAATAGCGAAGGAGCAGTTCCCTGGCAATTCGAGCACTGTTAAAATATTAATAATAAAAAAATAAAATAATTAATAATGTCAATAAATATTGTGTAAATAAGTATTAATAGTATAAATAAGTATTAATTGCGTAAATAGATATTAATATATAAATAAATATTAAGTATAAGTTAATTATATTGAATCTTTTATTTGTAATCTTTTTATTTGTAACTTTTTAATAAAAAATTTTACACTATTATTTATTATAACATTATTATAAAGAACATTATTATATTACTTTATTCAATAAAATGTAGCAAACAAAACAATAGTTGTGATAATTTAGTTTCATAATAACAGTTAAAATTTGATTTTATATACTATTTTCTTTTAGCATATCATATGACAATTGTAAGTGTCTTTGAAATGCTTCCTGTTTTTGCTCTTCGGATAAACGACGAATTCGAAACCCCAACAAATTTAAAAAAGAGTCGATGTCGTCAGGCTGAAGTGGAGGCGGTAAAATAATATCATCGTTGGAAGTATCGCACAAAGCATTAGCAATTCTCTCAATAGCACTGTTTTCTTTGAGATTATCTGTTTTTTTAGCGGTAAAGTAATAAAGATTAATAATTATATATATATATATATATATATATATATATATATATATATATGTGCGTGTGCGTATAATGTATTGTATATGTGTATACAACAGATTACAATAGATAAATCACATATATTTATAAAAATTTTTTTCAATCTCAATCATATATAAAAGACAAATATAAATTTTCATATAAATGTTATATACCTGACCGAACATTCCTAGTTTCTTCTGATGACTGATCCGAATCATTGAACGATGCTCTTGTTCTAGAAATATTTGATGCCGTGCTAAAATGTATCAATGAATAATTAAATATGTATATAATTTATTAAGTACACACATGTAAATTTTTTAAATTTCAATAATTTTTTTAATTTTTTAAATTTCAATAATTCAAATTTGAATATTCTTTAATAATATCAGAATTAATAGAAAATTTTAAAAATTTGTTTTACATTTGCACTTTAATAAATACGAAAGCAAAACTTACGTTTTGACCAAACAAGAGTCACGCAAAAATTCCATATTATTATAATGTTGCCACAAGCGAGTAGTATTTGGTGTTGCAGATCCACTTGCCTTTTGTTCAGATTGAATAATTTTACGATAAGTATCATGTAAAGATTTAAATTTATTTTTAGCTGTTTCTGGGCTAATTACACCTAAAAAAATGTAATGACATCTTAGATATAAAATGTTAAAAAAACATTGGAAGAAATATATAAAAAAATATATAAAACTTTTTAAAAAACAAGACTCTCTCTTTTTTATTTTTACCATTTAATGCCTCAGAAACTTCCTGCCACAATTTATTTCTTTCTTTCGGATTTCTTTGTCTAATATCTAATTGAAAATTCCATCTTCTCGTTTTTGTACTTCCAGAATCAACAGCTCTTCTTCGTCGAATGACAAACCTGTTTTGAATTTTCTTTTTGATTCTGGAATATTAGTTGTCATTGGGAGCTTCCTTTTTAAATGTTGAATATTATCTGCAAAAATAAAATAAAATTATATATTTAATATTACATCTTATTTTTAAGTGATTACAATATTCATATATTTCTTACTTGACAAATTTTCCTTATTAGAATTATTATATAAATTTTTTTTATTATTTTCTTTTGCCTCTATTACTACTATTTCATCATTCTCAATTAAACTTTTTCTTATTATGTTTCGTCCGTCATCTGTAACAAAGCGTCATATAGAAATAATTTGCATAATCCTCAGGCACTATCAGAATGATTGTTATATGTACCTGTCATTGGATAAAAGTATAATGTTGAATTATTAACATAATACTTAGAATATCCTTCTAAGCAAGGATGAGTATTAATATTTTCAATGGGAATGACCATTTCGCAAAGCCCACATGTTTGAACCATTTCAAATTCCTATTGAATATTAAAATATAATAGATATTATTTTATACACTTTATTATTACAAGTAAATTACAACATTACATGTTCTGATGTTAATAATTAAAATAAGAAAAATTGTTGGACATAATGTTTGGAAATAATTTATATGGTTAGGTTAGGTCTTTAGAATTATAACTCAAATTAAACTATTATAAATATTGCTATTTAATATTAATGATTTACATAAAAGTTAGTAGATCAATTCATATATCAATTCATAGATCAATTAAATATTTATTTCATTAAAAATGTATTTTGAATTTTCCACTCATTTAAAAAAAAATACTTAACTGATTACGTCGTGAAATTATCATAAATATATTAATGCAAATTTATTGTTATTATTAAAATGTAATGAGTAATAAATAAATAAATAAATAATATTAAACAATATTACTTACGTTTTCCACAGACATTTTTGAGGCACTGCTTGACGCTTGAAGCTGAACAAATCCAGCTTTTTTCTTTTGACGCTAGCGTTCAAAAAGAGGTCACGTGATCGACTAGACGCTAGCGTCAGATAGGTAATGAAATCGCAGCCTAAAGGTGGAATTTCATTGACGCTAAAAAGTAGCGTCAACAATTGGTTGAACAAAGAAGCAACTACTTACTTCTTTGTTCAACCAATGGTTGACGCTACTTTTTAGCGTCAATGAAATTGCACCTTTAAGATCGGACTATGAATACCGGCCATAGTCTTATGTTATGCATATGCACCTACTTACGATACGACCAATGTAGATCCGGTTTTTCGATACGACCAATGTAGATCCGGCTTTACGATACGACCAATGTAGATCTAGCTTTAAGGCCTTTGCACGTCATAGTCGAGTATTCTTTCTGTGATAAAAGAATAATCAACTGTGATTGGTCAGTTTTCTTACGACCTTACGACCTTACGGTACCAACTAAAATTTTTGTACGTGCAAAGGCCTTTACGTACTTATGAATTTTATGTGTGTTAGTCATGAACAGATCTAATGTAACATATGTATTGGGTCTGTTCTTTTCAGCTGCACTGCTGCACTAGTGCAATTAGTAGAGTGAAAGAAAGTATGTTTGTCTCTTTCTAACTTATTGCACTAGTGCAGCAGTGCAGTTGAAAAGGACAGACCCATTGTGATGGATAATAATACGGATGAGAAAATACAAATTACAGTATTATTTTTTGCAAAAGCACGTGAACTAACTGGAAGTAAGGAATGTCAAATTTATATTCCGAGAAAATTATCCGCTGTTGATCTTCTTGATCAAATTATTTATACTTTTCAATTAGAAACAATACGTAACCAATTAATATTAGCTGTGAACGAGGAATTTGTCATTCCAAATAGTATTCTCGCTTTATCAGAAAAAGATAAAATTGCAATAATTCCACCACTCAGTGGAGGTTCGTATAATAATATTAATGTCAAATTTAACCCGCTCCTTAAAAAAATAAAAAAAGACCAATTATAATATATACTATAATTATAATAAATATACTTTTAACAAAATTTAAGTGGAACGGATTAAATATGACAATAAAAATAATAAAATTTTATTATATTATTTAAATTTTTTTAGGCTAACATGGAAATGTCAAAAAATTTTGTCAAATTACAGCAAGATGAATTAAATATTGCAGAAATTATAGATCTAGTAACATTTCCTAACTGTGGAGCAATATCTAATTTTATTGGGATCACTCGAGATAATTTTGAAAATAAAAAGGTAAAATATATTACACGCAAAAAATAATATAAAATTTTAAATATTTATAATAGACTTATATACTACTATTATATACGTATATAAATTTTAATATATTTATAATTTATCTGCTTAGTGTAAAGTTATATGTCTTCTTTATACCTCAATTTAATAGAAATTTTATTCTGTTAGGATTTTACAGATTAGCTTTATCAGAAAAAAGCAATATAAAAAAGTACAAATTAATATTGTGTTATTAATATTTAATAATTTATCTTAAAATCAATTTTGATTTTTTAGGTAATTAAACTAGAATATGAAGCCTATGAATCAATGGCTTTGAAGGAAATGATGAATATTTGTATTAAAATTCGTTCAAAATGGAATATAGAAAGCATTGCTATATATCATCGTGTTGGAGAAGTACCAATATCTAAAGCAAGCGTTGTAATAGCAGTTTCCTCTCCTCATAGAACAGACTCATTGAAAGCAGTGGAATATGCTATTAATGAATTAAAAGCTTCGGTGCCTATTTGGAAAAAAGAAGTATATGAAACAGGAGAAACACAATGGAAAGAAAATAAAGAGTGTACATGGACAAATAGTAAATAATTTTTTTATTATATTTGAACTTCTGAAAAATATATATCTTTTAAAATGCATGCAACTATATTTTCTGAGTTATATTTATATTATGATAGAAAAAGACTAGAGTTTACAGCAATTATATTGTATTATCTATGCTTGTACTAATTCTTGTTTACTTTTATTTAAATTTTTCCTACAATGTGTACAAATTTTACTTTTATTTGTCAATCTCTTTTTATATAGGTATATCTCGTTATAAAAATTGTATCTAAAATTGTATCTAAAATTGTATGTTATAAAAATATTTTTCCTTTTTATTTAAAATCTTTAAAATCTATTTTTTTCACAGATTTTCTATTTTTAGCATTTTAGTAAATTATTTCTTTAAAAAAAGACTATTATAAACAAACGTAAATATTAATATATGCAATAAATATTAAAAATTTATTTTTTCAAAAATAAGTTTTTAATATTTATTGCATATATGAATATTTACGTTTGTTTATAATAGTCTTTTTTTAAAGAAATAAAATGCTAAAAATAGAAAATCTGTGAAAAAAATAGATTTTAAAGGTTTTAAATAAAAAGGAAAAATATTTTTATAACATAGATACAATTTTTATTTTTTCAAAAATAAATTTTTAATATTTATTGCATATATGAATATTTACTTTTGTTTATAATAGTCTGTTTAATTATTAAGAATTATTTGCATCTTGGTCTTCCTTAATTGAATATAATTTTAATTAAAGATGTAACATATTATTTTGTGTAATCTAAAGCTTTTAATAACTTGCTAACAGCATATTGAAATAAAATGTCAAAAGTGAAAAATCATAACCTGCAAAATATATTGAAATAAATTAGTTTTTTATATGCTATTATATATATATTAGATAATATAAATTAATAAAATATACTAAAAAACATTTTAGTTCATCAATTAATAATTAATTGTAATCTTAATGAACATAAATTACTATAAGTTTAATTTTTCTTGGAAATATTAAATATGTGCAGATAAGTTATATATGTGCATTTACTAATGCAAAATGATGGAAGTTTCTGGAAGTTTTATTAATCCATATTGTATAAAAATAGGATACAAAAGATTTAATTAATATCAACATATTTTGCAAAAAAATTCGTATGATTTTGGTTCTGATTAAAATTCAATATTATTATAATAATGTCATAGAAGTTTTAAAAGTGATGTAATGTAACATAATATTAGATGAAATGTTATACATATGTGTAAAGTTAAATGTAACATATTTTTATTAGTATTGTTTAATAATAATATATTAAGGAAAATTTTATATGATCTATAGCTTTGAAGAATGAACATGTTAAGGCGACTGCAAGTATAAATGAAGAAGTAGATAAAATTGTTATTGATCCAAATCTTGTACAAATTCAAGCAAACTCAGAGGAATTGAATCGTAGGATAAAATCATTCATTGAACGAAAACGTCAGCAAGTAAATACTTTAAATGTGCAAGAGTTTTGTTGCCACAGGTTCGTTCATTATTATTATTGACATGTGAAAATTGCATGTATAACTAATAATCATGTGAAGTAAACAGAGTAAAAGAATTCATAATTTTATCATTATTTCAAAATATCGACTATAAAAATATATGATAAAAGATATGAATTTTAATTGATAAATTCTAAAATGATCTTGATATGAATTTAAATTTCAAACCAAAATCAAACTAAAAATTATTATTTTTGTTTCTAAAAATTAAGAAGATCTTGTTTTTTTGTTATTATTTAACTGAAATTTGATGTTTGCTATTTAAAATATATTAAAATATATTAATGTAAATTTACTATAACTAATTAAGTATAATTGTTATAACTAGTTACTACTTTAACAATAAATAAATTAATTAAATATTCACAGTGAAAAAAATGATAATGAAAATTCTTGTGCAAGAGTAGATGCTGTTCTTGTCCGATGCAAAGATTCCAAAAGTCATGTGAGAGGTAATATAAAATTAATTACTTGATGATTTTGATATTTATTTGATATATATTATGATATTTACTTAGTATATATTTTATTTTTATTCTTTTTAATTTTTTTGTTACTTCTATTTTTTATTAGTTTTTACTAGATATATTTTACTAGTTTCTACAGATATATTTTTATTTTTTATTCATTTCTGCAGATATATAGTTTTGTTTAATGCTAATTCATTAGTTGTTATAAATATAATTTAATTTATATTATATATTATATTATATTTATATTATATATTATAATTTAATGTTAATATAATTTTTTTAAACTTTTATATAAATCTAGATTGTATCAAATTAAATTAATTAAATTTATTTGTTATTATATATAAAAAATTATATATAAAAATTATTTACAATAATTAAATTCTATAATTATAGTTACGTCTTAATATTTTAAAAATATTAATGTCCGTTTCTTCTTTTTCTTTTTATATGTCAGAAATAAAAGGATGTGTAAATGCTCAACGAATAATTCTGTATTATATATATTCATAATAATAATAATAATAATAATAATAATAATAATAATAATAATGATAATAATAATAATAACGTGTATATATATATATATATATATATATATATATATATATATAATATATATATATACAGGGTGTATCAGACCCGTAGCGACCGTATCAGGCTGGTATTTCGAAAAATATTTACTTGAAAAATGTTCCGAACAAAAGTTGTAGGACTTTAAGGGGCGCATTACATAGCATGGTGTGACCTTGGATAGTGTTGTTAAGGACACGGAAAAATCAATTAAAAGTTTTTAAATGGAAACCCCTATTTTTGATTGTATATTCTTATAACTGACCTCGAAAGCTTTCCAAAACATTATAATAAAGTATTTCTTCATTGAGTACTTTTCGAGTTATGAGGCTTGAAATCATTTCTTAATTTTACATAAACCGTAAAATATCTTTTGAAATATTCATTTTTCGATTATCTTACTTTAATAATTTTATGTACAAAATAATGAGAGCAATCAATTGATGTAAAGAAAAAACATAGTTGTTTTTAAGAAAAAAATATGTAATTTGCAATTAACAATTACATTTTTTTTTTTAAAACAACTATGTGTTTTTTACACCAATTGATTCCTCTCATTATTTTGTACATAAAATTATTAAGGTAAGATAATTGAAAAATGAATATTTCACAAGATTTTTTACAGTTTATGTAAAATTAAGAAATGATTTCAAGCCTCATAACTCGAAAAGTACTCAATGAAGAAATACTTTATTATAGTGTTTTGGAAAGCTCTCGAGGTCAGCTATAAGAATATACAATCAAAAATAGGGGTTTCCATTTAAAAACTTTTAATTGATTTTTCCGTGTCCTTAACAACACTATCCAAGGTCACACTAATCATGCTCTGTAATGCGCCCTTTAAAGTCCTACAACTTTTGTTCGGAACATTTTTCAAGTAAATTGCGTATTTTTCGAAATACCAGCCTGATACGGTCACTCTGATACACCCTGTATATATATATATATATATATATATATATATATACATATATATTTGTAATTATTTTCAGTTCACAGAGTATTAAACACATGGGGACCTCAAACAATTGATCGATCAATTTTGCCCAAAGCAATTATAAATAATTCTATTTATAATAATAATAACAGTAATTGCTGTCCTGTATTGGATGATAGAATGTCCACAATAGAAAGTATAACAAGGATTAGTAAACCTGTGCCTAAAGATATTTACAAGAGATTAAAAAATATTGAAGATAGAATATTATATTTAGAAAGTATATCACCAGAATACAAGGAATTTTGGGTATTATAAAGAAATTTTATCTTGCATATTTTAATTATTATTATCTTCACAGTTATATATTATATTTACAGTTATATATATTCCAAAAGACAATCTATACATATATTTTACATACATTTTTATGTGTGTGTGTGTGTATTAGTATGTATATATCATCACCATCAACATCATCATCACTTGTGATGGTGATGTTGATAATGATGGTGTACTACAGCCCTTGGTGAACCTTGATTTCCTTCATGATATGTTTCTATTTTGTCTTATTTTCTAAGTCTTTTTTTCTCTAATTGTTGACTCCTATAGTCTTTAAGTCCTCCCATCCTCCATCCATCTTCTTCTCAGTTTCCCTTTTCCTTTATCTCCTATAAAATATTCCATTTAGCATTTCTCTTGATCTTTTCTAATCGTCCATTTTTGCAACGTGTGCTAACTACTCAAGTCTTCGGGATTTTATAAATCTTATTACGTTTTTTTCCTTCTATTAATTGATCAATCTTGTAGTATATTGTGTATATGTATCATCTGTTTCTCTGTTCTCTTCACAGATTCAATATCTTCCTTATTGATTTCCTCTCAAAAGTTAATAATATTCTGTTATTCAATGAGGTCCTCTAGCACTCTACATTGTACACAGCTACTGATCATATTAGCATCCCAGATAGCAAAATCGGATAGAGCACGTTTTGCAATTTATGTGCTGCATACTATGTCAGCAGAATGCTGTCAATATTCTAGCAAAATATGCCGTTTCAGTTAATGTTGTCAGAAACACAGCAAAAGTTGAGCATAACGTGCGTTACGATGTAATGATAGAAATGCAGCAGAAATAAAGCAGAGTTTTACCAGCATAAATAGAACAATTCAATGCTGGAATAATGTGTCGGCAGAATGCATACTGAGAGTACGCATAATCTGTTGTTGTGTGTAATAGCAAATCTCATAAGAAATATCAAACTTGTGCAAGCACGCTAACAGCAGAAACACAGCAGCAATGCAGCATGCTCTGCCGTCATACGATGACATTTAATTTTTAAAATACAGGATCTGTGCGATGCAATTTGACAACAGATTGTCGGCAGAAATCGAACAGGATCTGCGCACAATCTTTGATAGCAGATTGATAGTAGAAACGGAACAGGGTTTGCATGATTCGATAGTTCCTTCACTTACCGCTACGTGAGCTATTCTTTCTTGTAATTGAATTTCTGTCAAAAATATATATAAAGTCGCGAATATGAATAAAAGACTAAAAATATAGTAATTATCACTTTAATTTCTGATATCTGATACAAGCAAATGAGAGTCAGAATATTAAACTGATTGGAATCAATATGATAAATTAAAAATTATTCATGTACTGCCTATTTGAGGCATAAAGCAAGAATTTAATTCTAAATAAATTACATCTCAAGTTACATCACAAGTTACATTTACTTTTATCATTTACTTTATTATTAATTTAATTAAATTGAATTAGTCCTTCGCTATATGAGATATAACTATGATATAATATATTACATATGTGTCATTTTCTAAGAAAATTCTAATTAACTTGCCGATAATATTGTTATTTAGTACCTGTAATAATCAATTTTGTTGCATTTATATAACATTAATAAAAGTAAGCGCAAATCTTGTGAAGTTTCTGCTGTCAATTTGTCATCAGGTTGCATGTGCAGATTCTGCTCGATTTCTGCTGTCATATCATGACGGTACACTGTGCTTCATTTCTGCTGCATTTCTGCCATCACATCATATTGACACATCGTGTTGCGAAAAAAGAAACTTAATGAGGACACAGCTGAGCGATATCTGCTGCAAATTAATGATTGAATCTGCTGTTATGCTGCTGGCATTTTGCTATCTGGGATTTTATATATTATTCTAATCTTATATAAATTAGTTTTGATCTTTCTTCTTTCCAGCAATTTGGATGTGAGAAATCTTTTGAAGATATAATAGTATCTATTCTCTATAATCTCTCCTTTATTTCCTTGTTTTTGTTTATGATTGTTCCAAGATATTTGAAATTGTCAGTCATTTGTTTTTAAATTTGTATCTTTCTATTTTTATATTATTCACATTTGTTTTCTTTCTTGCAAGTTTCATATATCTTATTTATTTTCGATTCCATTTCTTCAGTCCTCTCCTTTAACTTTAGGAATAGTCCTTTTAGTTTTATCTCGTTTCTTGAAATTATTGCTATTATCTGTCATTTATACATATTTATGTGATTTTGTATATAATGTTTCTTTAACTCTCCTATAATCTTCTGTAACACTAAAAAGTTAACAATATATCCCCCGTTTAAGCATCTATTTTGAAATCCTCTGACATTTTTATAAGGCTACTTTACCTTTGTGGCCTATATATATCATTCTAACTTAGATACTTTTGCTAATTCTGATCCTTGTCATAGATTCTTGATAGGTTTATGCTATCAATGCCATCAAATGCTTAAATGAAATCGATAGATAACATATGTCTATATTTTTTTATAGCATTTCTCTAGTATTTACCTTAACACAAAGCATTGATCAGTTATGAATTGAGGTAAATATACTGATGAAGGGAGCCCGTCTCGATTTCCTCGACTTTGACATATGTTGTCAAGGTCACTGCCCTGAGTAACATCTAAAAGGTTATAGCCGTCGCTCGTTGTTCGTTAAAAAGTTATTAACAAAAGAATTTCACAACTTTAATGCTTTTTGTCTCCGAAAATGTTGATTTGAGAAAAAAATTTTTAAGCAAAAAATAAAGCCGCTGAAAAACTCTACAAAAAAGGTTATATGCATTTTTTTCATAAACCTACTATTTTAGCTATATAAAAACTACTATATAAAAAAATAATTTAAATATTCACATAAGGTATGATTGAGTTGCCCACAGTTTTATAAACCTATATGAAGTCTCAGTTTGCGTTGCAAAGTACACGCACAGACTGCACACCCACCCACCCCACCCCACCCGCACCCCGTTGCAAATCCATGTGAAATGAAACAAAAGTGTATCATTTGTATATTCGGTATTAAGAATTGTTTTACATCGCGGGCATTCAACTGTTCGTCTGATCACATTTTTTTCAAAAAGATAAGAAACTAATTCCTCGTAATTATTAGTTCGCTGGAGAAACTCGTGAAGTCTCATATTCACGTATTAAGAGTTCTGCAAGTACTAAATACAAGGAATATTTCTATAGCTTAAGTCTGTATTATTGTTATGCTTACATATTTTGGATCATAAGTATACTTTGCGTGGAAAATATTTCCGAACTGTGTTTTCATATAGTTCTATAGTTCTACCTATACGATGTCAATAAAATCCCCAATAGCCAAGTCTGCTAAAGCAGATCTTGTCAGGGAATCTGTTAGAAATTGTTGGCGACAGAAAGATTACAGAATCGATGCAGGTTCTGATATATCATGTGATGTCGCCAGAATGTCAACAGAAATATAACAAAGCTTGTTAACATAATCAGTTACCAGATTGGCAGCAAAAATCGAACAGATTTTGCCGGCATAACTTAGTGGCAGATTGTCGGCAAAAATCGAACAGGATCTGCGCATACAATCTCTGATAGCAGATTGATGGCAGAAATGGAACAGGATTTGCATGATTCGATAGTTCTTTCACTTACCGCTACGTGAGCTGTACTTTCTCGTAATTGAATTTCTGTCAGAAATATATATAAAGTCACGAATATGAATAAAAGACTAAAAATATAGTAATTATCATTTTAATTTTTCACTTTAATTTCTGATATCTGATACAAGCAAATGAGAGTCAGAATTCAGAATATTAAACTGATTGGAATCAATATAATATATGGAAAATTATTCATGCACTGGCTATTTGAGGCATAAAGCAAGAATTTAATTCTAAATAAATTACATCTCAAGTTTTACAAGTTACATTTACTTTATTATTAATTTAATTAAATAGAATTGAAATTAGTCCTTCGCTATATGAAATATAACTATGATATAACATATTACATATATGTCATTTTCTATAAGAAAATTCTAATTAACTTGCCGATAATATTGTTATTTAGCACCTGTAATAATCAATTTTGTTGCATTTATATAATATTAATAAAAGTGCAAATCTTGTGAAATTTCTGCTGTCCATTTGCCATCAGGTTGCATCCGCAGATTCTGTTCGGTTTCTGCGGACAATCTAACATCAAATTGCACGCGCAGATCCTGTTCGATTTCTGCTAACAGTCTGACATCAAGTCATGTTAGCATTGATAGCAGATCCTGCTCAGTTTCTGCCGACAATCTGATATCCGATTCTGTGAGCAGGTTCTGCTAGCAGATTAGAAGCAGAATGAGGACGCAGTAGATGTCATTCTGCTGACATGGTTTGATCAAATCTGTTGCCAGTCTGTCGACATACTGCTTACATTTTGCTTATTGGGATCTATATTCTCTTTCTAACTTTTTTTATTAATAACTTTTTAACGAGCGACGGCTAAAACTTTTTGGATGTTACTTAGGGCATACTTTTCCATGTAAAGGGAGATTTCACATGCGGCAACGGGGTGGGGGTGGGGCGGGGGGTCGGGTGGGGGAGTGTGCAGTCTGCGTGTACTTTGCAACGCAAACTAGGACTTCACATGGGTTTATAAAATTGTGGGCAACTCAACCTTATATGAATATTTAAATTATTTTTTTATATAATAGCTAAAATAGTAGGTTTATGAAAAAAATGCATATAATCTTTTTTGTAGAGTTTTTCAGCGGCTTTATTTTTTGCTTAAAAATTTTTTTCTCAAATCAATATTTTCGGAGATAAAAAGCATTAAAGTTGTGAAATTCTTTTGTTAATAACTTTTTAACGAACAACGAGCGACGGCTAAAACCTTTTGGATGTTACTCAGGGCAGTGACTTTGACAATTGTATATGTCAAGGTCGAGGCAATCAAGGCGGGCTCCCTTCATCGGTATATTTACCATTTATATGATTAAATAGCAATAAAATGTGATTAATCTTTATTTAATCACTTAGTAAACGGTCGTGCCATTGGATACATTTACATTGTTACAATTAATCGTTGATTTCTATCATTGATCATGTAAAATCAAAACATCGATAAGCACTTACTATGTAACTATATGTATATTCAATATTACAATTGCTCATACTGATTTATTAAACAAATATAACTAAAATAGCTGTTAAATTCGTTAATGTAACTATACCGTTATCGTTATAGATAGAAAAAATAACGATCGTTCCCAAATAAAGGTAACGAACAAGTAACGCATTACTTCCCAACTCTAATATCTTTGTTGTTGCAATCCCGTTGTCTTCTTTTTTGTATATTGGACAAGATACCATAATACATATACTTCATTCTTGATATGTTATGTATTGTTTTCCGATTTATATATTGTTTTGTTGCTGCTCCTCTATATTTTATCTTTGCTTCTTTAGCTATTGTCTTCTCCTGGAGCTTTCTTTTGCTTCTTTATTGTGTGATTTAACTAATATGTTAATTCAATTTCGTTCTCACTATCGCTTGGCCATCGTCTTCTTCATAAATTTGTGAATCTTTATTTTTTTTATTTCTTAATGTTTTTTTTTCCTTTTTAGTAGTTCCTAGAAGTAATACGCCCATCTTTCGATAACTTGTTTTTCATTTGTTATGACTTTGCCTTCTGTTCTTGTATACCCACACGGAATAAAAATCTCTAATGGATGTCCACTCTTTACTATGGAGATTCGAAACCTGCATTAAATGTCCATGAAACGTCCCGTAAACGTCTACTAGACATCCACAGTTCCGCATTTCATACCTCCATTCGACATCTATTAGACGTATTCAAAGATGTCATATGTACGTTATATGGAGTATTATAGTATTATAGATATTTTGTGGAGCTCTTATGGATGTCAGATATATGTTATGGCGATTATAAGTGAATTTTCAGTCAATTTAATATCATTTCCATTATCTACTAAATTTTTATTTTTGTCATTTCTTAAAAACTTGATTGATTTAATGTTCTGTATAATAGATACATATATGATAGAATTTAAAAAAAATTAACCATCTGCGGTTAATTATATGGAACCCTGGAGCTTCTTGCAAAAGCTGGAGCAGAGGAGATGTGATTATAACCCAGTAAGCAAAATGTTAGCAGTCTGCCAGCAGTATGCGAGCAGATTCAAACAGACTATTGTGGCAGATTGGCATCAACTGCGTCCGCATTAAGCTTGGGTTTTGCTAGCAGAATCTGTCAGCATAAACCGACAGCAGATTGACAGCGGAAATCGAGCAAAATCTGCGCATGCAACCTGCTGACAAATTGACAGCAGAAACTTCACAAAATTTGCGCTTACTTTTATTAATGTTATATAAATGCAACAAAATGGATTATTACAGGTGCTAAATAACAATACTATCGGCAACCCTAACAGCACATGATATCCTGCGTATTATCCCATTTTCATACTCATTATACTATGATCATCCGTAAGATACTGAGAACAACTCTATAATATCTCTTATAGTATGATTCGGTTTTCTATCGCGTGCGTACAATCTCAGAATTTACTCAAAGATACGGTAAAGATACGTACGCTTTTCTATCGCGGGCGTATAATCTCAGGTTTGACGCCAAATATGGAAACGGTACATACGTTCAACGCCATCTGCATATGTTCCTGTTCCGGTCTCTTCCCGCTTGCTCGATGGAATAAGGGATTTCAACTTAGTGAAATCGAAGGTAATCCTTTTTTTCTTTAACTTTTATCTTACATATAATAGTAAATAAAGTTTAACAGACAGATTTTATATATGATTTACGTAATATTTTGTATATTTTTTACATACTTATAAAGCTTTTCTGCTTAGAATAGTTTAAGGTTATATACACAAAAAATGTAAAAATATAACATTTTTAATACATAATTAGTATAAAATATCTTAGATATACATCTCAGATATATATTTCGTATCAACAGAATAGTTTTACAAATTTAGAACGTGTTCAGGAATATCAATACATACATTATCTTTATTATTTTTAAAACGTCTTAAAATGATATATGTATATAAATATATATAACTTTCAGCAGCGTTCTTCGCAGTATTCTTCGCAGTGTTCTCTTCGCAGAGTTCTTCGCAGTATTCTTCGCAGTGTTCTCTCTTCGCAGAGTTCTTCGCAGTATTCTTCGCAGTGTTCTCTCTTCGCAGAGTTCTTCGCAGTATTCTTCGCAGTGTTCTCTCTTCGCAGAATTCTTCGCAGGATTCTTCGCATGTTCTATACAGTGTTCTTCGCAGAGTTCTTCGCAGAGTTCTTCGCAGAGTTCTTCGCAGAGTTCTTCGTAGGGTTCTTTGCAAGGTTCTTCACAGAATTCATCACTGAGTTCTTCGCAAGGTTCTGCAAGGATCTTCAACAGAACGGGTATGTTTTTTTTTCTGTTCTTGAAATTTTTTTAAATTTTATTTTGAGCACTTTGATCGTCATCCATATCTGGGTGACAGCCAAATTTTTACACAAAGGACGTTTTATTAAATTTACATTAAAAGAAAAAAATATAGTATTTAAAGAATATAGTATTTAAAAATATAGTATTATTTATACAATATTATTTATACATTTTCTTTAATATTTTTAAAATAATGTGTCTTAAAATGATATATATATAACTTTCAGCTCGCAGCGTTCTTCGCAGTGTTCTTCGCGGAGTTCTTCACAGGGTTCTTCGCAGTGTTCTATGCAGTGTTCTTCACAGAGTTTTTTGCAAGACTCTTCACAGTATTCTCCACAAAGTTCTTCACAGAGTTCATCACAGAGTTTTTCGCAGGGTTCTGCAAGAGTCTTCAACAGAACAAGTATGTTTTTTTTCTGTACTTGAAATTTTTTTTATTTTGATTACATTTCTTTTTCCTGTTTTCCGATATTTAATTTTTGCATCTATTTTCGCACAGAATGGACAATAAAAAGAAATATGCTATTGTTGAGTTCAAAGATGGTCTGCAAATCGTACCCGCTACTTGGTTAAGTAGTGATTTACAAAAATCAAAATGGCCCAGACATTATATCAGTAACGACAGATATGACAAAGCGGTTAAATTGATGGAAGTACCTGATTGTACATGGGAGGAGCATACTGTCCTGAAAATATATGCGACATCTTGTAAGTAATTTAATTATTTAAAGTTTTTGTAATATATTTATTTTCCATAAATACGATATTGATACTTTTATTTGCTTTTATAGAAAAACAATGATGCTTATATTATGTTTATTTCATATATTATTTTTTCAGCAAACTATGCTGTGGCTCGACAAAAATTGAAATTAGCTGAAGAAATGTCCGACATCAATTCTTGTACCGACGAGGATAGACAGAAACTTTGTAAAAAATCCCGCAAAATTAGAGTGGCTAAGATGCATGATTCCAGTTCATATGAGTATACTAACGATGAAAGCGATTCTGAGCAAGCCATTCTCTCAGACCTTCCCAAACCTCCAATCAAAAACGTCTATAAGGAGACGTCCACAAAAACAACTCGAGTATGTAAAAATAATACAATAAAGTATTCTAAAATTGCCGACACAAAACTGGAACAAAAAAGTACTGCATCTTACAATTTTAACAACATTGAAGAAGTTGATTTTCGTAAGTAATTTTTATCTAAATATGTATACATGATAGTTTTTACAACAGCAATACGATTATAATAAAATTATAATATTCAATGCTCTATTTTATTTTGATTAGATAAAGATTTTATATCAAGAATCATTTTAACCTTGTAATAAAAAACATTATGTATTACATTAAATTCTGTATTATATCATGTTTAATATCGCACATTAAAACATATAGAATAATGCAAAAACAAAATTTTATTGGAATATTAATAGTTATATACTTTTTTCTTTTTTAATTTTAGCTTCACAAAGCAGTTCCGCAATTTCGGAGTATTCTGATTATGAAAATGTAGTCCGACGCAGTCCAAATTTGGATTTAAATTCCAGCCAAGGTTTGTATGGAAATGATTTCTATATACCTTCTATTTTATGTACATTACTAATTTACATTTTATATTCTCGAATATCTAATATATACATATATAATGACTGCGTGCGTGCGTGTGTGTGTGTGCGTGTGTGTGTGTACGTTTATATTTCTGCATGCGTATTTATATTTTCTTGTGTTCATGTACAAAGTTTTTAAAAATTGCACTTTATTATCTAATTTTTAAAGGAAACTATTTTTTACAAATTGCATTAATATTGCATATTTTACTTAATATTTTAACACACAATTTTAATTTTTATGATTTATATGTTTTGTTTTACCATTTTCAGATTCACAGTGTATTGTTAATGTAAATCCTGAACCTGAACGACGGCACGATATAAATAAATGTGTATTCCCACGTTGTGATAATCATGAGTCTGAACGACGGCACGCGCGCGGCGATGTAAAGAAATGTGTAATTCCGCGTTGTGATACAAGTCTTCCAAGTTTGAATTTAAATTCTAAGCGAGGTTAGTAATCTCCGTTTTGTCTTTAATTATTTAATTTGTATGTGTGTAAATGTTTATTTATTTAGATTATATATACATGTATATATGTTTATGTATGTATACCGTCCGTCAATGATTTGCGTTGGATTTGTTATTTCTCTCTTATTCTGTTTCGTACCTCAGCGCCGGTATAGGCAGAGTAAGAGAGACATAACAACAGCACGAGTCATTGACGGGCAGTGTAGAACAAATAGTAAGAAATTTTGTCTTCTATATTATTCATGTTTTTTAGAAATTATTGAACTATTGTAAGAGGCAATGCGTCGCAATCATTCCATTATCAATTATGAAGTAGTGACATTTTTAATCTCAGAGTAAATAGAAACAGGAGGGAAAATATCGATAGTTGAGGCAGGATTTTGACGAACGGAACTACGTCATGGCAGCCATCTTGAGCGTCACTTTGCATCAAACATGATCGGCTCCTGTTTCAGACAATAAATCAACGCTTGAGTAGCTATCTTGAGCATCACTTTATACATTGTATATAGTCACTTCCATCCGCCTGCTTAGTACCATATGTTCCCTCCTGTTTCTATTCTCATTCTGAGCTTCTAATTGGCTATCGCAATTGCTTCACGACTGGTGTCGAGATATTTACATTGCATTATAGAACGCCCTTAAATGTAAATAAATTGGTTTAAATTGTTTGGAAACAATGATAGCATTATTTAATCAGTTTCAGGACAGTGCGCGGAAACTTCGATAGACATTACTGAACGTCTTCATGATGAAAATGTCCCCCCCAACAGACATATGTTAAATACTTCGATAGACATCACTGAACGTCTTCATAATGAAAATGTCCTGCCCAACAGACATATGTCAAATTATACTGAGGGTTAGTATGCAACTGTATAATTTTTTTAATCTTAAAAGTTTCAAATACACTCCAAAATTTCAATATCGACGCTTTCAAAGAAAATCAGCAATTCCATTACATATTTTACTATTTCAAAAACATTTATTTTAAAACAATTTTATTTTTAAAATTTTGCAATCTTTTTGTATTTTTAACATATAATTCATAAAAGTATATAGGCATGTATGTATGTACTCATACACTGATTTAAGTTACGCGAGATTTGCTAAAAAATAAATAAATCTAAATAAATCTAAATAAATCTTACGAAAAACGTTTTAAAAATTACTAAAAATTGTAAGGTTTACGAGATCATTTTATTAAATTTATGAGATTATTTTATTTCATTTTAATATATTGTGACATGAAAACTAAAATATTTATGAAACTACGTTTATACATATATATATACTAATTTTTTAATAATCATACTTTAATACTTTTATGTACATATTAATATATATACAGGGTCTATCAAAAGTGTGGAAACCCCTAAATATCTCGGAAAATATACGTTTTACAGAAAAGTGTTTCCAACAAAAGTTGTAGGGTTTAAGAAGATCTATATACTGATTCTATCAGTTTGACCTTGGATGGCGTCGTCAAGGTCAGGTCAAGGTCACATTGACTTTTTTAAATGACACCCCCTACATTTGATTGCATATTCTTATAGCTTAATTCAAGAGCTTTCCAAAACACTATAATAATGTTCATTTTTATTAAGTACTTTGCGAGTTATGAGGGTTGAATGATAGAGTAGCGCCGGTATTAACATTATCCAAGGTGTACTACATGGAGGTTACTCGCTCGGATTTGCATCTGTTGTGTGTGTGATCCAGCTAACTAAGGCAAGATCGATTCCTCAACATATCCTCATATTTCGCTGAAGTCAAATTGCCAAAAAATTGCTCCATAAAACGTGTATGAAACGTCTCGTTAGTTCCTTCATTTACCGCTATGTGACGCACTACATGCAGTCTAACTCGCATTTAAAATTCAACTAAGAATGTATAAAGCTATCAAAGAACGAGCACCTTCTAACTTCAGCTTTGAGCAAGCAGAAATTAATTGTTATCGTCCAAATACAACGTACGATTAATTAAAATTAAACGTTTTAAAAATGGCTGGCGACTTGTCGGAACGTGAAAGAATCACTATCCTCATGATGCGTGGATGGGGTGATAACGAAAGATCGTTCTCTGATGTCGTTCGATTATTTAATGACACGTATCCGAACCGTCGAATTAATAAGTCCACTGTGTTAAAAACAATAGAACGTTTTAGACAAACTGGTAGCGTAAGAAATCGCTCTAAGTCAGGAAGACCATTGTCTGCAACCAACGAAGAAAAACAACTTGATGTTCTGCAGACATTTATTGAAAATCCCAATTCTAGTGTTCAGAGAGTCGCTCAAACTCACGATATTGCTCCCATGTCGGTTTGGAGAATTTTAAAGAAGAACAAGTTCCATCCATATAAATTGCAATACGTTCAAGAATTGCAAAACGGAGATGAGGAGCGTCGTATACATTTCTGTGAAAGAATGATGGCACTAATAGATGTCCGGCCCATCTTCCCTTATCAAATTGTTTTCACAGACGAGGCAACTTTTACCTTAACGGGAGAAGTTAATAATCAAAATTTTCGTTTCTGGTCAGATGAGAATCCGAATTGGGTGCGGGAAACTCACACACAACATCCACAAAAAATAAATGTATGGTGCGGAATAATAGATGGCTATTTAATAGGGCCGTTTTTTTTTGAAGAATATTTGAACGCTCAAAGGTATGAGAGATTACTTGTTGATCAAATAATTCCAGCCATACAGAATACTTTTCCAAATAATTTCCAAGAAATATGGTTTCAGCATGATGGAGCTCCTGCTCATTTTGGTGCAGGACCACGTCGTATTTTAAATGAGACTTTTCCGCTACGGTGGATAGGAAGAAGGAACGGAAATGAAGGAGGAGAGGATTGGCCACCTCGGTCACCAGATCTAACTCCTCTTGATTATTATCTATGGGGATATCTGAATATATATATATATATATATATATATACATGCATAAATGTAATTTAAATGTGTTGTAGGATTTGATTTTGAACGCTACGTAATTAAAAAATTCCAACATCTGGAATTAAAAATGAGCAATAACCTGAAACTAACCCAAAAAATTTTAGAAAAGGTTTCTAATACCGCACAGATTGCAGAAGAAGCACAGGAAAAAATTGATATTTTTCAACATTTATCACTAAGAGACGAAAATGATTTAGAAATTATGGAACGAAAATTGGCGAATGACATTGTATACCGAAATGAAATGGTAATTATAATTCAATATTAGAAAATATTTGTTTAAGAGAATTATTAAAGAGAATAACAGTTAATGATTGCTTTAAAAATTGAAAATTAAAAGTGTGTGATATAACTTCTTTAATTAGGATGCCTAAGTGACATCCAAGAAGTGTTGTTTAAAAAGCTATACTTTTAAAAACTCACGTTTGAAAGAGGTATTAATAATATTTTCTATTTATTACAGATCAAACAGTTAACACGATTGACAGCGCGGGATATTAAAAATTCATATTTAAATTTATTGAGACAAATAGTCTCAAACAAAGTTGCTGTATTATATAGTTGGCATGGTGCCAAAAAAAAAAGAATTTTTTAAAACAAGTTCTAATCATCAAAAAAAATCCTCCGGAAGAACTAGAAGAGCCCTCTGACTGAATGTGATAATTATCTTGTCAACGTATTTAAATAAGACACGTTAGCGCAAGAGCCAAAGATTACAATTAAGAATTTTGCTTTTTTCAAATTTTGTTCGAGTTATAATGAAAATCTTTATTTTGAGAGAGTTTACGATATATAGAGAATTTACTTTTTCTTTTATTTATAAATGTTATATATATATATATACATAACATATATGTAATGAAGAATAATGTGTTCATAATGTATATGACACATATTTTGAAGTAACGTTTTTGCAATAAAAACATCAATAAAAAATCAAAATTGACATTAATAATCTAATCCTAACCTAACCTAATCCTAACCTATCCTGTTCAATGCGTGAGCACGCGCGCACTTGGCGGTATATATGTGTGCGTGTATAAATGATCTACTGCAATCTTCCCATTTTCATCATTTTCTGAAACTATCCTCCAACTATAGACATTCGCGGAGAAATACTATGGGAGATGCTACCCCGGACATTAGATCATTCGCAGAACGTACTGCGTCAATCGCAGTACGTTTGAGATTGTTCTGAGAATATACACAATATACTTTTGCGATATTCTTAGAACATTCTCAGAATCTACTTGTGCTGTTAGGGAAGTTAATTAGAATTTTCTTGGAAAATAACATATATGTAATATGTTATACCGTAGTTATATCTCATATAGCGAAGGACTAATTCAATTTAATTAAATTAATAATAAAGTAAATGATAAAAGTAAATGTAACTTGTAAAACTTGAGGTGTAATTTATTTAGAATTAAATTCTTGCTTTATGCCTCAAATAGGGAGTACATGAATAATTTTCAATTTATCATATTGATTTCAATCAATTTGTATCAGATATCAGAAATTAAAGTGATAGAAATTAAAATGATAATTACTATATTTTTAGTCTTTTATTCATATTCGCGACTTTATATATATTTCTGACAGAAATTCAATTACGAGAAAGAACAGCTCACATAGCGGTAAGTGAAGGAACTATCGAATCATGCAAACGTTGTTCCGTTTTTGCCATTAATCTACTATCAGAAATTGTGCGCAAATCCTGTTCGATTTCTGCCGACAATCTGTTGTCAAATTGCATCGCACAGATCCTGTTCAATTTCTGCCACCAATCTGCTATGATAATTTTAAACAAATCCTGTTCAGTTTCTGCTATCAAATTATGTCAGCAGATTTTGTAACATTTCTGCCGACATTCTGTTATCATTATTTGATATAACAAATTTTTTTATACAATCTGCAATTTTACTGTCGACAAAAATTTGTAGCAGAAATTGACAAAATCTGTTTGAACAGACTTTGCTGACTGGGAATAGTCCGCTCTCTTTGACCGATAAGCCGCAATTTGGCCGTGTGCCGCGGCCTTATATTACTATCTTAGATGAATTCCACTTACGAGTTAGGTTTCTTTTTCGTTATCTAGCGGCAAGACGTGAAGCTCTTGGAACTATATGAATATTTTATCTACCATGGAGGTAATATGGAGTTCTATTAGAGATATAGATATTGTATGTGGAAACCTGTCATATATCCATAAGAGATGTTCAATAGACATCCATGATGGATTTGTAGATGACATCTACCATGGAGATAATATGGATTTCTATTAGAGATATAATTGTATGTAGAAACTTGTCATATATCCTTAACAAATGTCCAATAGACATCCATAATGGATTTGTAGATGACATCTATCATGGAGGTAATATAGATTTCTATTAGAGATATAATTGTATGTAGAAACCTGTCTTATATCCATAACAGATATCCAATAGACATCCATGATAGATTTGTAGAAGATATCTATCATGAGAGGTAATATCGACTTCCATTAGAAATCTATTCAATATCCACCATAGACATAGATGTCGTATGGAGTTATGGAGGTTGTATGGATGTCCCATTGGATGTCAAGTTGTGTGTTTGTATACATAGGCTCATGTTCTGAGTCCTCTTTTATTAATAAAAGTGTCTCTAAGAATGGCTTATAAACTTTCTGATTGGCTACGAACTATTAGAGGCACGTTTGTCGATAAAAGAGAACTCAGGATATGGGCCATAGATTATAGATTTAAATCCTATTTTACTCTTTTTATTCCTAAATAAAAGTCTTTTATATTTCTAATCAAATAGTTTTTTTATTTCTATCATTTTTTGGCGGTATTCTTTTTTTGCAGATCTTATGGTCCATATTCTGAATCTTTTTTTATTGATAAAAGAGGATTCAGAATATAGATTTATGTATTTTCTTCATATTTCCAGTAATCTTTTCATACAACACAGAACGTTGCAATATTGCGGCAATATTGCAATGTTGCTGCAATGTTACAACAATAATAATAATATTGCTACAATATTCTGTGTTGTATGGGTTCTTGTCTTGCTTTTTCTATCAATAGTGATTATTTTTTATCAATCCAGTCTTCATTTGTCTTGTTCTCCCTTTCTCTCTATCACCTCTATCGCTTTGGCCATTACTCTGCTGACAAGGGGAACACCAGGCAGTAGAATCACCGATTTCAACTTAAAATATATTATACATTTCATCCTCAAACTAATTCGTCGTATGATAATACGATCCTCATAATATACTTCTTAAGTATTCACAAGAAAAACGTGTTAAAAAACTTACGTGCTTGTTATGTAACGAACGGAAAAGATATATTTTAAGCTGGATCTACATTGGTCGTATCGTAACGTCGCAAGTCGTAAGTCATAAGCAAATTGACCAACCATAGTCGACTATTTCAAAAATAATCAACAATGATTGGTCAATTTGCCTACGACTTACGACTTGCGACATTACGATACGACCAATGTAGACCCGGCTTTAGCCCTGTTCTACAATGAGTCGTAAGTCGTAAGTCGCAGGCAAATTGACCAACCATAGTCGATTATTTAAAAAATAATCAACAATGATTAGTCAATTTGCCTACGACTTGCGACTTGCGACTCAATGACTAAGTTTCCACCGAGAGTTCGAATCGAGTCAAAGTTGGGTCAGAATATGGTCAGAGTCAAGTTGGCTTGCCTGTTTTCACCGGAGTTGATCAAAGTTACATTAGAATTCCGGTAAGGTTAAACGTTACCAACTGTACAAAATAAAATAGTCAATTACAATAGTATCTTGATATTAAAGTTATGTTAACTGTCATAAAAACATCATGAATCTGAGAGCGCTAATGTTAATTTCGCAGCATCAAAATAATATGCAGAAATTGTTTCTTATTTTACAAGAGCGGCGACGAAAATCAACACAAAGGATACAGCGCAAATTTCTCTTGTTGGCAACACTACAATTAACTCGACCTTCTCGTTTTCACCGAACTTCATTTGGACCCTACCTTAAAATTTTATTGCGTAGAGTAGGGTAGGGTAGGGTTTATTGGTGTTTCCATAAAAGGTTCACCCCAACTTGACTCTGATCCGATTCGAACTCTCGATGGAAACTTAGTCAATGTAGACTCGGCCTTAAAGCCATTCTACAATGGCCGTAGCATAAGGTTGTAAGGTGTAAGACTCAAGAAATTGACTAATCACAGTCGAGTATTCTCTTAATACTTGACTGTGATTAGTCAATTCCTTAAGTTACAACTTTAATCCATTAATTCTACTGCCATTGTAGATGACGTGTTAGATTTAAGGCTGGTTTATAGAGGCCGTAACTGTTAACTTATGCCGGAACCGGTAAAATTCAATATTGGAATTTCAATTGCTTTTGTTCACGCTGAAAGCATGAATAATATTGAACTTTACCAGTTACGGCCTCTATAAACCAGTCTTTAGGCATCAACATATAGAATGGACTGCTGATGGAAGGGGAAGGGGAGCCGCACGAGTAGAATGAGAGGCAGATAATATGAGGTCACATTCCGTCTTTTTCTGATAAAGCCTGATTGGTTGGTAAATACTGCTTCTTTTGCTGCTGATTTTTTACCAACCAGGCTTTATTAGCAAGAGACGGAACGTGACCTCATATTATCTGCCTCTCACTCTACTCGTGCGGCTCTCCTTCCCCTTCCATCAGCAGTCCATTCTATAGGCGCGTTTTCGTTTCGCTATCACGAGCGACCAGAGGCAAACAAGACCGTTTTCGTTTCTGGTTGTGACGTCATCGATGCAATCACGTGAGCCGTGGTAGCTGCTACCGCGCTGCCATGATCTCGAGGATGATAGTGCGGTTGTGGTAGGTTGTTTGGCGCGAAGTGCGAAAAGAGAATGAATGTAACGGGTCACCCACTCTTCATTAGCAATTATTCCTATTTTGAAATGAGTTATTCTATCCTTCAAAAAGAAAAGGACAACTCTGCTTGTGGGTTGTAATTGACAAATATTCACAATGTGTGATAAATCGTCATCAATCACTTCCATTATACAAAATAACACAGATAACCTCACATTTGGATCCATCATGATCATGATACATGAAGCAAACCGCTAACGCGTTTGCGCATTGCCTGCTCGAAACGTTTTTATTCTCGGTTACTATTTGTGACGTCATATCATCAAACACGAACCAACCGCTTGTAGCGAGGTAGCACCAACGAAAACGCGCCTAATATGTCGATGGATTTAGATAACGGTGTAACGTAACATGGGACGCATAACTAATACACCGCATATCATGAACGACGACGGTTCGAATCTTTTAAGATTTTGACTTTTGAAATTTTTTTTCTTTAATCTACATTGAATTGAATTATTATATTACATATTTTTATTATTTTAATATACAAATTAATGTTTTAATTATAAAATTATTATATTTAAAACTCATTGAGAGATTTTATTTAATCTTAAAACATGTACTCTTGTGAATCTGATATATTTAAAACTCATTGAGAGAGAGATTTTATTTACAATTTGTTTAAACCCTAAAACGTGTATTCTTGTGAATCTAATCGATTAAATGCTTTTATGAATAATATATTTTAATTATTAAAAATATATTTTAATTATATATAAATATATTTTACTTATATATAAATTTTAATATATATATTTTAATTATATATAAATATATTTTACTCATTGAGAGAGAGATTTTATTTACAATTTGTTTAAACCCTAAAACGTGTATTCTTGTGAATCTAATCGATTAAATGCTTTTATGAATAATATATTTTAATTATTAAAAATATATTTTAATTATT